TATCCGAAAGGGGTGGTCGTTATAGAGGTTCTGAGGACGCGTGTGGCGTGCGGCAGAGCGATGCTGCAAGTAGTTTTGGCGACAGCCATTTTTGTAGCGTTACGTAACCGCTACGCTAGCAGTGGCCCCTAAGACTTCTATCAGGTCTAAGCCTGCCACACACGCCAGTTCGATCGTTTGTCTCGACGGGGTCCACTATGTGCTCCATGGCAACCTGGCGCTGGGATGATGACTTACGCGTGAAGTAGTTTTACGTGGCAGTAAACTTTCGTTGCATCTACCGTACTCTCTCTTTTCCAGCACCTGCCCAGGCCGGGTGTCAAGACAACTGAGAAGAAGACGAATCGATCGCTGCGACAATACATTTATTCGCCTGACGTTTCGAGATCCGTCACGGATTCGTCATCAGAGACATAGACAAAGAGTGGTAGCAGAAACGGGGCCCTGTCAAGACAATGTAATAAAGACCGGTGGTCGGATTGGCCGCAGGTGCAGCGAGAGCCTGCAGTTACGCCTGCCACTAAACCTCTCCCCACATGTTCGGTATTTTTTTTATGGAAACGCAAACCGAATAACTTCTGTCATGTCCTGGTCTGTCGCTCGCCACCTGTTACGCACAAGCACATACACAGAAGAAAGTTTTGCCGTCAGAATAGAAAACAAATATTCCATTAGACGGACGCCTCGCGTTTTCCCAAGTGTAAGCGGCTTTCGTGCAAGGATGTGAGCTGTCAGGCAAACCCAACTACGCGCCAACAGTCTTTCCGCAGAAAAACTGTCGACCCAATGCGAATAGTTTCAAGGCGGGAAAACGTGCAGTATGCTCGAATTTATTACATTGAACGGACATAAAAATATATACACAGCCAGCAGAAGAAAGTGGGGGGAGGATAGAGATGGAGCCTGCTGTAACGTCCTTTCGCAGTCTTTCGGCAAAAAGGAAAACGCAAACGTGATAGGCAAAAAAATGCAGAGAGTATGAGACATTTTCACAACCGAATCGTTTGCCAGCTGATGGCAGCGTGCGTAAAGTGGCTGAGCCACTGTCGCCTGATAATAGTCTCCTTGGGACTGTCATGGGTGATACTAGTCGTGGTATTGTTGCAGATTATCCCAAGTATTCAGTAAAAACGCCAATTGATTGTGCATCCACCAGGAGGACAAAGGCTATAACATGAGCTCCAGTTCGCCAGGATATTCACGTATTGGCGTGGTGTGAACTTTCTTCTCACGACGCCGAACGACGAGTAGACGAAGAAGGAGGGCGACCATAATAATGGCGAGCACCGAGCCGAGACCAATAGCAACCTTCTCGCCGTATGTTAGTAGGGGCCCTGGGTTACCTGTAAATGGAAAAGTGGGCAGAATGAAACACGGTCTATAAACAGGTGGCATCTGTTTGAAACAAAATTGATTATGTTTTCACAATTTGACACGAGTACTCGACAAAGAAGATGTTAAATATTAGCTTCACCTCGTCCGTCTTTCCCAATCCAGGAAGAGTCGGTCAATCTCATGTTTACATGTCTGACTTTAAAACCACTGAGAGGCAATCGAAGCCCTGAATTCGGCGGCGCTTAAAGTTCCTTTGGCAGAAGTATGTAAATAGACGTCTCATGAGTTCAATTGAAGGTTATGCATACTTTATCATCATCAACGTCCCAAGGCGGTGAGACTAATAAATACACTTAAAAATGATCCAACGCTGATATTGTTTCGCACAGCTGCGACTGAATCAGTCGGTTAAAGTCGGTTAAAGTAACTGGGAGTGGAGTTTTCTCATGTTCCACAGTATTAACACAAGGATGAAAAAAGAATGCACTTGAGGTGTTGGGGTAAATGTTTCAATAATTATAATATTTCCAAAATGCCTGCCCTCCTAGTATGTTTAAAAATAGGCTGCACGGCTGAGAAAATTCAATATGTCATCAAATTTCAAGGTAAGCCACCAGTGAGACTTGCGGTCTGCTACACTGGATGTGATATCTTATGGAACGTTAACCGAAATTCTAAAATGTGTTTTGTGCCGAAAGACTTACTCAATTGCGTTTGTACTAATAATTATCCTACAGAATATTTTACAGATATTTCCATTACTTCACAATGCCGGCTTTTTTCGTTTCGGTTAGCTACAAAAAATGCACTCCCATTGATTATCGACAAAATTATGAATTCAAACATATTCTATAGAAATAATACAAGAAAATATACTGTCTTATGCACAAATGATAGCTAATTATTTTTTAAGATTCACACTCGAAGAAAGTGCCTCCTTCGATTTGAAAAAAACTTTCCAAATTATTGGATACTTTTGAACAGCAGTTATTCACCGATAGTTAATGGAACTCACTCGTCCCGTTTTGCCTTAGGGTTCATGCTCAACTCCTGCCAACAGCCGCATAGTGGCTAGTATTATAGGCAAATGAGCAGGACGAGTGAGTCTCACGTAACCGATCGGTGAGCGTCCGTCCACCAATTTTAATAGTTCCAATCGAAACCGGTAAGACAGTGAGCCCGCGGCTTAATGGGTTAGAGCATTAGATTTCTAATCACCATCTGTGGTTAGGTAAGACTGGCTGATGACGGCTTATGAGCCAGGAATGGCTGATCCAGTCTCCTTTGTCTTTGCCAGTCGTTGTACCGTTTCTACCAGGGCTCGAGACCGAGTTCCGTAACCTCTTTGTGAGTGACTGTCCATCAAAGTACATTATTGTGGCAGTACTCTCACCCATCCAGTTCCGCGACACGCTCGTATCGTTCTCCCTTGAGCTCTAGGTGGAGTGCCAATCTGAAAAATTTCGGGCGCCACCTTCAAAATAAAGCGTATTTCTTTGCAAAAATTATCTTACAGTGAACACCCCGATTGCAACCGATAAGACAACGGGCCATTGTTTCAACTGTTAGTCTCAGATGTGGTTAGGCTGTCTGATGGTGGCTACTGAATCATTGCGGTTTCACGTGTCTTTGTCAGTTATTTCCTTCGGCCTGTAATACATAATTTTGGTATCCCTAGTCAACCCGGATTCAGTGTGAAGAGACCGGGCAAGATAGGGCAACACCACGATATCGAAATATACAGCGCTGAGGGAGAACGATGCTATCTAAAAAGCGAGAGTCCGGATGGCTTATCTCGGATGGCGGGGTTAGTTAGAAACCGGTCCAACTGAGCACTATTTTGCTGAGTGATAATGACAGACAGAGAACTTCCGCACACCTCCTGCTAAACAGAGTACTGGTGATTATGAGGCCACCACTGACGCACCTAAAGGTGATGGCACCCGTGTGCGCACCTCTAGAACAGAGCCCACATATGCGCAGAATCATAGCAGCGCCACCGAAGATGACTCGACCCGCACCACCACCACCTTAAAAACAAGCCAACTTTCTCGGCG